CATGGGAAATGATCACCTTTGTGACTTTGTAGATTGGCAAGCTTGTGCACTCACATGTGAAGGGAATCACCCCTCACATGGGGTGATATCCAACAAATCACCCCCTTAACCCATGTGAGGTGATCCACTGCACACACTGCTGTTAATCTTTTCACACCCAAAATCCAACATAATCTGCATATCATCATTGAGACGTTATTGCACCCCCTGAAGCTAGAGATAATACACCAGAGATACAAGAGGAGGAGGGAATCCTACATCCTCAACTCAACTCACACCACTCTCTGATTTGGAGAGAGCCTCTGCTCCTATCTCCCACAGATCTCTTCCACGCTTTCTGTCTCGGATGCCTTCACTTGCTATGCTTGAACTTGTGTAACCAATATATCCGACACCCCTGATTGGATGTCCTGCACCCCCTGCTGGGATGCCCTTGACTGTCATGCATTACCTCGCAGGACCAGTCATTGGAGCAATAGAAAACTCATCGTTTATCCCATCAACGTCCTCGGTTTTCTTTGCTCGGAGCTTTTTCTCTGAACTATCAGCCTTTGCCCTCTGCACTTCTGAACAACCTCATAGCGTTTCCATATACGCTTGTTGTTTGTGCTTTTGCAATCCCTAATTTGTTGTCTAGTAGATTGATGGTTGACAGTAGCCCCATCTGTCAAAACATCGTCAACTATGCAATTCCTTGCATAGTGCTCGCACCTATGGCTTCTAGTCTCCCTGTGTCGAGCTCGCTTGAGAGATCCGTATCAACTCTATCTTCTGCTGCCATGGAACTAAAGAAACCACCATAGAGAAAAAAGACTTGCCATTCCTTGGCACGCACTCTTGCATTTTATCCGTCTTAATTTCTCTGTCTGGCAATTCCTATGAACTTTCAACAACCCGCTGCTGCACACTCCTCTTGCGCCTCTGTACGACACTGTACCCTTGCACTGCTGCATGTCAGCATTTGTGCTTCTGCGCTTAGTATGCTCCTCTGCAACTATTGTTCTACACATCCACATACCACCACTACCTACTCGTATACAGTAGCTCCAACAGCCACACATTTCCCTAAGCCTGTACTTGCTGCCAAATCATCTATCCTTCGATGAATGGTCTTCTCTTCTGATTGAACCAGATCTTCCAATGAACTCTGAAGATAATCATCTTTGCAATCCTCTGATCGCCCTTGACAAATCCTGATCTCCTTCGATTTGCCATTTGATCAAGCCTGATCTCCTCTAGTCTCCAATGATATATCTCGATCTGAATCTGGTTATCCAATCTGGTCAGAATCTGCCCATTCTAACCTCTTCAGTGAATCCACAGCGTTCCATAATATCCGACAACCTTCTTTCGACTATTGAAGATGACAAACTCTCATGTTTTGACAATCTTTAAAAATCGTTTAGAATTTCACTATTCTGACCTCGCGGTTGCGTCCGGAACGGTCCATTTAGCTAAGACCAACCTTCGCTGCACTTCCGGGGACCTCACTGAAAATAATCCTCGAAAGTTGGGCCACACCATAATTTTCTAAAAATTCTGGGCCAAATTGCAATTTTTAGAAGTTCAGGGAATATTCTTTATTCCAACAAAATATTCTGTCCACTACACCGGGCGCTGTCTGCCACTTTGTTCTGCCTTACAGAAACTCCAATTTCAAAATCTGACCGTACGGATGTGTCCGGAATACTCCAAGTAGTTGGAAAGCACTATTTGATCGCTAGAAACGGACTCTGAATGGCTTAGATCAAGCCAAAACATTTTGTACGCCTTAGATCTGCGGCTACACCTTAGCCGAGAAGCACGGGATCACTCCTCCTGTGGCTCCACCTTAGCCGCGTCGCACTGGATCCCTCTTCTGTGTGCTGACGTGGCAGATGACGTAGCGTTGACTGGTTGCCACGCGGCACTAACTGGTCTGCCACGTGGCGCTGACTGGACCGTTGACATGGTAGCCACGTGGCAGTCCATGGCTGACGACGGTGCCACGTGTCACCAACGTGGCGTGATGACGTGTCTTTGACGCGGCGCCACGTAGCCCGTGCGTGGTGTACACGCGCTCCCCCCACTCACCTTCTTCTTTCTGCTGCGCGTGAGGGCGTGTACGTGACTGATCCGGCACGTCGTCTGACTGCACGGCGCGTGAACACTCGTGCCGAGATTGGGCCTCACTTTCCTTCTTTAGGAGGCACGTGACGGCGCATCCTTGCTCCTCTGGTGATCTGCTTTGTTTTTTTGGACTCCTCTCGTCGAGCCCTTGCTCCTGATATGCTCAAAACCTGATTGTGAGCAACTTGATTTCTGGGCAGTTTCGAAAATCACACTGTTTTTGTTCCGAAACGCCACCGACGAGGCTCTGATACCACTTGTTGGGATTGGGGATCCCGCCCAAAACCTTATAGAAATTATACTAAGCAGAAAAACACACCCACACTCAAGGAGATACCATATTTAACGTGGTTTGGCCTCAATGCCTATGTCCATGGGAGAGTAGCCGGTTATCACCATAACAATGGAGATATTACAGAAAGATTACAATAGAGGAGTTGACATGGCAGCCACGTGGCAGTCCATGGCTGACGATGGTGCCACGTGTCACCAATGTGGCGTGATGACGTGTCTTTGACGCGGCGCCACGTAGCCCGTGCGTGGTGTACACGCGCTCCCCCCACTCACTTTCTTCTTTCCGCTGCGCGTGAGGGCGTGTACGTGACTGATCCGGCACGTCGTCTGACTGCACGGCGCGTGAACGCTCGTGCCGAGATTGGGCCTCACTCTCCTTCTTTAGGAGGCACGTGACGGCGCGTCCTTGCTCCTCTGGTGATCTGCTTTGTTTTTTTGGACTCCTCTCGTCGAGCCCTTGCTCCTGATATGCTCAAAACCTGATTGTGAGCAACTTGATTTCTGGGCAGTTTCGAAAATCACACTGTTTTTGTTCCGAAACGCCACCGACGAGGCTCTGATACCACTTGTTGGGATTGGGGATCCCGCTCAAGACCTTATAGAAATTATACTAAGCAGAAAAACACACCCACACTCAAGGAGATACCATATTTAACGTGGTTTGGCCTCAATGCCTATGTCCATGGGAGAGTAGCCGGTTATCACCATAACAATGGAGATATTACAGAAAGATTACAATAGAGGAGGAGCTTATACTCTCCTCACTCACCCACTCACTCGTCTCCCTCGCTCACACCAAGAGAGACGGTCTCTCTGCCTCACATCTCTCACTCTCTTTGGCTTGCTCTTTCTCTCTCTCAATTAAACTCTCCCCTCAGCCTCTATTTATACACTAATAGAATAGTGGAGAGCTTGGCTGTCCTTGCACATGGCCAGCTCCTTCTCCATATGTTGCAGCTTCTTTCACATGGCCAACACATGGGAAATGATCACCTTTGTGACTTTGTAGGTTGGCAAACTTGTGCACTCACATGTGAAGGGAATCACCCCTCACATGGGGTAATATCCAACATTATCTTCATTGGGTCTGGTTCATCTTCGGTGAGAGATGGCTGGGCTGGGTTTGGTTGTTTGTTGAAGAAGGCAAGTGGTTCAGCATGTAGCTGGCTGGATTGGGAGGCTCTGTTTCTTTTGCCACTTGGGTTTTTGGAACTTGAGTGATATGGTGTTATGTAAGTAGTTATATAGGCCGGCAAAGCCATCTAACTAAGTTTAGCAGATCCACCAATTCAAAATTACCCACCCTTTCTGACTGTTGGTGACGGAAGATAGCAAAACATAAGTGTGGGGGAAATGTTTGAGAGTTGAGATCCTCTCCTTGAGCTCTCTTCTTGTCTCTCTATTTGCAACGGTAGAGATGTATTGTGAGTTGATCCAATAGCTCAAATTTGAGCGGGAAAAGCAAATTTGAATTTGTTTTATTTGAAAAGCAAATTTGAATTTCTACTCCTCAAGTTGTTATTTTCTTTGGTTGTTAATTCCTGGACTTATTACCAAATCAATGGTATAGGACCTGAAACTTAGGGCTTGTTTGGTTATTTGTGTTTTTTTTATATTTGTTATTCATTTTTCGTGTTTTAGACACCAAAATAATGACAAGTTCAAAAACACCCATTGTCAGGTTTTGAAATTTTGATTACTAGTTTTTGTTGTTTCTTAAAAAATGTGTTATTTAAAAAAAAATGAAAAAGGAAAAAAAAGGAATAATCCTTATGCTAAAAGCATATATTGCCCTGAATACACTACAAGAATTAACACTTTTGGCAACAAAAAAATTGGTCGCTAAAAGTCTATTTTTGGTCGGCAAAAATTATCCGCGACCAAATTTTTTGGTCGCTACTTTGGTCGCCAATTGAGGGTCGGCAAAAGTAATTCGCGACCAAAAATTGTGATTGGTCGGCAAAAGTTGGATTTGCCGACTAAATTTTTTGTCGCTAAATATTTAATTACCGCGACTAATTTATTTTGTCGCCAAAACACTTTGGTCACGAAAAGTGATATTTTCCCGACCAAATTTTTTAATCGCCAATTGTCACATTTCGCGACCAAAAAGTTTGGTCGCCAACTATTACATTTCGCGACCAAATTTTTTGGTCGCCATTTGTTACTTTTCGCGACCAAAACTTTTGGTCGGCAAAAGTGAATTTCCACGACAAAGAGCTGTTTTGGTCGGCAATAGATGTATTTTTTGCGACCAAAACTCTTGGTCGGCAATTGTCATTTTTTGTGAAAAAAAATTATTTTGGATGTCGCGACTAATAAATTGGTCGCCAAAGTAGAAAAACAATGCACCTATAATTCCTAATAATTCATTCAATCCATAATAAACCTATACTTTTAAAGCATCATTCAAATTAACTGAATCATTAACATTCGACACAATACAACTATTTTAAGTTTTCATTCACAAGTCACATCCTTCTAGCATAACAATTTGAAACATAACTATTTGTTATCCATGCGCAGCTATCAACAAATAAAACTACTAATATTTGTTATCCATACACATCCATCCAAAAATATTTAATCCTCCCTTGTGGAACCTAAGTATTTAATCCTCCCTTGTAATAACTAAGAGCCACGAGGTCTCAATAAAATTAAGTTTCTCTCCTCTGCAGCTGCTTCAAAGGTCTCACCAGCCACAAGGTCCGGAACCTGGTCGTCGTCATCTTCTTGCACAGCAGTTGCACTGGCACCAGCACCGGCACCAGGTGCCTGCTTCTGGAACTGCTCTGCCAGCTTCCTCAAGTTGTCCAAGTTATCGGGCCCTGAAAGAAGGAAATCCAGTGAGTAAACACATCAGGAGAATCTTTTCAATGTTAAGAATAAACAGATCCATTTAACATAAAAGAAAATGATATTATAAGAAACACAACTGCACATACCCAATTGGTTAATAATTCCAGGGAGAATGTCTTGCAACTCTGGGGAAAAGGAAAAAAATAATGGTTCAACTAGAATCCAGTTAGTCTAATAATTGAGAACTAGAAGAGATAATTGAATGGCTCAAGGACAAGCAATAATATATGCCTCTGCTAGCAAAAATAACCAGGTGGAAGGGTCAAAAGAGAGGAGAAACAAATATATTGAATTTTCAGCTCATCTCAAGGATGTCAAATTTAAAGACACAACAGAAACCAAATCTGTCAAATATTGGTGACAGATTTACCTGCATCTCAGTTCTAATGCCAAGAATAGCCTAAACATATCTGACCAATTATTACAACACAGCAGAAGCCAAGACTGTATTTGAACATATCAGCAATCAGCAGCATAGCAACTCTGTTCAATAGGCAACAGAGCAGACCTATGCAGCCACAGAGTCAGCCATCATTAAGATCAGTAATGCCTCATGATTTAAGCCTCAAGATAGCAGTAGATAGGCCATACACACAAGCAATAGCAGCATAACTTGGTCAAGACGTCTACGAAGCAAAACTTAAAGTAATAACTAAGCTCTTCTAAAATCAATAAAATTAAGAGAGGAATCACAAGACTTCCAGAAGAGCCAAAACGAAAGGTGCAAAGTGCATCACTTTCAATCCATGTATATCCATTTGTAGGTCTTCAATATGACACAATTTTACACCCTCCAAATGCACCATGTTAAGCACATTGATTGGAGTGTGTGTAGTTTCGTATGTTACAACGTTAATTATCAACAAAAAAAAAACAAAAAAAACAAATGTAGCTGTGGTGTCTATTTATATAGAAGAAGAAAATGTAGTGGTGTCTATTTATATAAACCATTACAACATTTTCTCAAAATTTCAAGTCATATATTGTTTATTAAAATGTAGTACGTCTATTTATTAATTATACGTTTGTGCATCAACTCAAAATCTGAAAGTAAGTAGGAAAAGAAAACGGGCAACCAGATAACCTTCACAAAAGCAAGAAATTCTATAAAGCACGAACAACAACTGCCATCCGTTTCAAGTGAGATGCGAAGTGGTGTCTCTGCACAATCTGTACAACATTGCCACCTCCCCCTGAAATTGTTGAAAATAAAATTAGGATTGGGAAAAACTTAACATAATAGCCTTTTACAAAAACCAATGAAGTGAAAGATGAGCAAGAGATGGAAACAATTATTCATTAAACAATGAATTATAGACTGCACAAGTAACTATAATGTCACTGTTTCTAGTCCATGTAACCTAAATATGCAAGACAACAAACAGAGGGGAACTGGAGTTATTATCGATCATCGATCAAAGCGAGCAACATTCACACTTATCTCATGTGTTTTGGTGCATTTTGGTATGTTTCGGTGGAAACAATGGAATTTCAGTATTCATTTATGTTTCGTTTTGATTTCCTAAGAAACGTAAACATTTTGACCATTTCAATGGAAAACCCTCCAAATGCACCATGTTAAGCACATTGATTGGAGTGTGTGTAGTTTCGTATGTTACAACGTTAATTATCAACAAAAAAAAAAAAAAAAAACAAATGTAGCTGTGGTGTCTATTTATATAGAAGAAGAAAATGTAGTGGTGTCTATTTATATAAACCATTACAACATTTTCTCAAAATTTCAAGTCATATATTGTTTATTAAAATGTAGTACGTCTATTTATTAATTATACTTTTGTGCATCAACTCAAAATCTGAAAGTAAGTAGGAAAATAAAACGGGCAACCAGATAACCTTCACAAAAGCAAGAAATTCTATAAAGCACGAACAACAACTGCCATCCGTTTCAAGTGAGATGCGAAGTGGTGTCTCTGCACAATCTGTACAACATTGCCACCTCCCCTGAAATTGTTGAAAATAAAATTAGGATTGGGAAAAACGTAACATAATAGCCTTCTACAAAAACCAATGAAGTGAAAGATGAGCAAGAGATGGAAACAATTATTCATTAAACAATGAATTATAGACTGCACAAGTAACTATAATGTCACTGTTTCTAGTCCATGTAACCTAAATATGCAAGACAACAAACAGAGGGGAACTGGAGTTATTATCGATCAAGCGAGCAACAAGTAAATATTCACACTTATCTCATGTGTTTTGGTGCATTTTGGTATGTTTCGGTGGAAACAATGGAATTTCAGTATTCATTTATGTTTCGTTTTGATTTCCTAAGAAACGTAAACATTTTGACCATTTCAATGGAAAAGAAACAAAATGGTGCTCCTTGCTTAGGTGACTGATTCACATAGCAAGAGCAGGAGCAGTAGAGGGAGTAAGAGTGGAGGAGCATCAGATTTCAACACATTTAGGGCCCAAAGCACTGCTGGAGCACTTATACATATGTGTTCAAGTCTGTATCTGTGCAAATGAGCTGGAAATATATTTTCCGTTGCGTTAATGAGGGCAGCCGGCCTTTGATTCAGATTTGTTTCACAAGTGAAGATAAAATTTCGCCTCATATTGTCCATTAGCATATTTTTTCCCTCATCATTTTCTTTTTATAAGTACAACATTGAAGATACCTAACTACAATAAGAAAAGTGATAAATAACATTAGTTAGAAGAAATCGAGGGTGCAAGAGAGATTAAAGATTGGAACAATTTATATCATGTAAAGACCAAGACAAACAACAATTGAGTACTAATTAAATAGTGACAACTAATGTTGCTGCTTACTTTTTCGGCATAGCCTTCTCAGCAGATTTATAACTCCATTCTATTCCCTTAAGTGCAGCCTTCTCAAAAGGATCACCGACCTACAAGCAACAATGAATGATATAGTAACTAAAGCATAAGGAAGTTCAGTACAAAAAAGTTCTAATTAGAGATCTGAAATATGAAATTCTCAGTGCTCAATAAACTTTTAACAAGGATTCTATATGTATTAGGTAGCTACCTCTGAGCACAAGGCAGTTTAGTACCAAAAAGTTACAATTAGACAAGACTGGTTTGCTCATGATGTAGAGAATGCAATAAAAGATAGTGTCTAATCCTGCATCAAATCAATCTAAACAATACCTGCAGGATATGCGAGAAATGTCAATCAAATCTAGTAATAATTTTTTGGCTGATATGACTGAAGCCTCTCACCCAGGTCATTTTGTTTTGACATGTCCAGTTCTTTAAAAAAAAAAAAGTTTATTGTTTGGACAGTGCCCCATAATATAATAAGCTGGACAACTGATATTAGTGACTACCTCAGTGCTCAAAAAAGATAAGTCAAATTTTCTAGGATATTACTTTCTGTGGGGAGTTGGTGGATCTTCTTGGCTGCCTTTATGCCATTCTCCACATTGGAGGGGAAGAGGATAGGATGCATTAAAGTAACAACTTATTATAAAGTCTTGAGTAGTCAACATTGATCTTTCTTTTTTTCTTGGGAAGGAGTTTGGGTCTAAGGCTCCAACTAAGGTGGCATTTTTTGTGGGGTAGGTTATGCTCTATCTGTTTTACATTGATTTTTTGTGAGGTAGGTTGACAGCAACGATTAGTAGCACCAGATCGTCGCAATTAATAGTCTTACAAATAACGTCAACTTCTCTATCAATCGAATTAGCCCGTTGGTTACTTTTTGGCATATTAGCAAACATAGGCACCCATAAGCACACTCCTCAACTCCCAAGGCATATTAGAAATGTTCTTTAAAATCATTCAACACAACAACCAAAAAGTAAAATAAATAAAAAATAAAAATAAATCAAATCCCACGTGTTGAATAAAATCATCCTACAAAGAAACTACGTGATCTTGATACAGATAAAATTGTCCATTGAATATGCAAACAGGTAAATCTATTAACAACTCAAACTAATACCATGACTGCTTTGAGAGTGCTATCCAATTAAAGAACTTTTATCTTACGCATGCATGATGTTTTTAATAAAGCATGTGCATGAATCGAATATGACTGTATAAAGGGTTGTTCGACAAGTTTTACTTTCTGCACCTTCTGAATCTAAGCACATAGGAGGATATTGGAGAAATTGGTGATCTAGTTCAATAGCAAATCAGAGCAGGTTCAGAACACAAAAAATGTCAAGACCTTTCTACTACCCAACTTACAATAGGGTGCATCTACCCTTTTGTTTTGTTAAGATATTTTATAACCAAACTGCATGTTCTTTTTCTTTCCCTCTTCTCATGCACAGTTGCTACCATTTAAAATTCAAACTTAAAAGCTGCAAATCACATCTCGCAAATAATAAAATTTCTGTGAAACTTTGTGACAGAACTTTTTTTCAAAAAAACATTTAACGACTTCATTTAAGAACATATAGAGCTTTGAACATCAATACAGTTTCAAAAAATTAAATCCTTTGCAACATTCAAGGAAGATATCCCAGCTTTTCTTAAAACCACAAACTTCAAAGTAAAGTTAAATTCAAACTGAGTTAATTTGAAAAAGAATGGTTTTCACACAACTGAAGCAACAAAAGATGTCATTTTGGGGAGAGAGAGAGAGAGAGAGAGAGAAAGCGTACAATCCTCCACATCCTTCAATTGATAATAGTGAGGAGCTATTTCCACCAACCATTCAGGTTTTAATTTAACCTGTAACTCAACTTCTCAAATTAGTCTCTAATGGACAAAGTACAACTCCTGCAGAACCATTGCGTAACGGAACTTTATACTATCTGCGAAATTTGAGAAAGGGGTACAAAAACAAAATTGATGTTTACCTGCCACATGTACTCATTGGTTGTCAGAACCAATTCATGATAAACAACCCATCTTGGGAGCACCTACCAAAGGAAAGAAAGAAACTATAAGTTTCATGCAAAATCATGACTCTTTCATTTCATCGGTCATACTTTCCAATATTCAATACCACATGCATGCATGGCTCCCTCTATGGATGAAAGAGTGCGTACATACATGCATACATGACATCTTGGACAATAAAATTTGCATTGTGCATATACATAAGTTTTGCTTTATTTATTTGTAGATTATAAGTACATTATTTTTCCTATAAGAGAATAGTTATAATAGGATTGAAGAAGCTTTTCGTGCTTGAGAGGTCCCAGAAACTACTATTGTGTAAACGAATTAGACAATACATTTGAAATTAGACCAATTTTGACTCATTTGAAATGGGTTATGTCTATTCCAATTTTATTTTCTAATTTGCAGTGGGAGTGGGAGTGGGAGTGGGAGTTGGAGTTGATGACATTTTTATTTGGAGTAAACTGTAACTGAGTTATAAGAGATACTTACCTAAGCCTTTTGCTGTTGAGGTGGAGGAGGTCCTCTTGATCATCAATTCCAGGACTTCCACTGGATCTTTCTGCTGCATCATAGTCATTGTCATTAAAGTCGTTTCATCTTCTCTTTGATGTAGTAGCACTACAAGCAACTTGTACTCCTGCTGATCTGTCCAAGTCTCCATGCAACACACCCATGTTGTTGTTATCTTCAGAGTTGTGTATACTCAATGCTTGTTGTTCATTTACCTGGGAGAGAGATTCCAAAGACAGGGTGCTTTTAATGCTTGTGTCAATGCTTGTGTATACTCAATGCTTGTGTATTTGCTATTCAAAAGATCTTCATTCATTGACAGGGTGCTTTTAACCACAGTCTGTTTCAAACTGCATAAAGATGGTAGGGAACAATATAAATCATCACATGGACACATGATCTCTAAGAAAGCTTAAATGGTGACCTTAAAGAGAATTTTACCTAAGGATTCATATTATTTGGTATCAGAGCTAGCCACCACGTTGAGTATGGGATCACATGGGTTGCTACTCAGTGGTCGAGTCACAGATGGAGCAACCTGTGCAGGGTTGTAACTTCTAAGAGATAGGGTCACCTAGCTGGGAATGATGGGCCACTAGGACGTCGGTTGCCTCTTGAGTATCCTCCTCTTGCATGCCTCTTTTCAAAGGTGAGTTCTACCCAAGAGGTTTGTAGACTTATCTAGATGGAATTAGAAACTATAATGGACTCATCAGATGTAGAACATAATATAATGGGATTAATCAATTTTCATAAGATGCACATACACTTACCAATTTTTAATGTAAAACAGCTGCAAGATATTTCATAAAATAATTGACAGCATGGTTGACCCAAATAACATCCTAAAGCAGTCCTAAACAGATTATTAATTTTGATACTAACCACATAGCCATCAACCATCCATTGGAGAATACCGAAGGTAGCTGTCACATTACCATTTGGATCCAAGGGGTCATAGCAATCTGCGAATCAGAGAAGTAATATGATTTTTAACAAACAGTTCTTCACCCAAAAAGCAAAAATCAAAAAATGAAAAAAAAAAAGCAGCAAAAGAAAAGTAGGATGCCTGAAAAACTGCACAGAGAAGCTAATAATATCAATATCAGTGCAAAATGGCATACACAATAATTGATTAACCCTATGTTCCCTTGGAGATTAACAGGCTGAGATGGATAGATAGTTGTTATAGTCTGCTTAGATGAATAGGGTTTTTGTGGACTTTATTATCAAGGAAAAACATTGTCCTAATATTTATCTATAACCTGCTGATCTATGTTGACCATCCCAGTTTGAAATAAACGATAATCATAGGAAACTTAACAAACATTAACAGAAAATTTTTTAAAAGATAAAGTACAAGGCAATTAGATATTCTATCAATCCATGCAAACAAAATAAGCACCAGCCCATTATGGATTTGGAAGGACTCCTGTGTATTCTTCACTATCTTTTCTTATTCGAAGAAGGATGTACAAGGACGGCAAGCATAAAAATCAGAACACATGGCAGAGCAACATAAGACAATTTAGATTACTAAAACAATCTAGAGCTGTACTCCAATCTCATCCCCTCCCTTCAATGGCATGCCCCTCTTCAACCGCTTTCGCCATATCCAAGTCTATCCTAGCCGACTCATTCAGCTGAAAAGATTTGATTCAGATTCAAAAACTAATTACCATTGCTGTGTAGATTTTATTCTGGATGTATAATTAGTTGTTTCTCTTACATGGGTTGCTACTGCAGGGAGTAAGTGTTGGTACCATCAAAACGAAGGCCAATGTCTGCTGTGTTCAGTTTCCTGTTGATTCTAGTCGTTACCTTGCATTTGGTTCAGCAGATCATAGAATTTATTACTATGATCTCCGTAACACAAAAATGCCACTGTGTACAATGATTGGACACAACAAAACTGTGAGCTACGTGAAGTTCATAGATTCAACAAATCTTGTTTCTGCATCGACAGACAACACACTGAAGCTTTGGGATTTGTCAATGGCCTCATCCCGGGTTCTTGACAGTCCTCTTCACTCATTCACCGGCCACACAAATGTGAAGGTATATATCTATAAATACATACATGTATGTGCACATATATAAATTATCATGGCATGGGTTGAGAGTGCTGCTATATTTTGTTCTGTTCTTATTATCATTGCCTGAACAATTAATGTGCTTATATAAGCGATTTGAAGCAATCAAGCTTATTAGTACAAAATTACTAGCAATAAGTGGTAAGCATTTTTTTTTCTTCTCTTTTTTGAAGTAATGGGAAGGGCTTCCAATAGTTGTTGGCTCTCTCAATTTGTTGGGATTTTTTTTCCTTTCTAGTTCTTCACATGCTACTTGAGGTATTTTATATATGTTGTACTTTTTATTCATAGAATTAATGTATCAATTTCTTGAGAGGTTGCACATGGGATTGGTGTATTTTGGTATTTTGTTCATACCATTTGTTGATTCTTTAATTTCTTAACTTATCTTGCACCATGGATGTGCACACAAATATTCGAGGACAAAAAAAGGAAGAACAGCACATTTCAATAATTCTAAGATGGAAGTTAGAATTTCATAGTAACCATAATTGGCTCTTGTATATTTTTTCTGGCAACTTTCCTGGTTTTCACAGACTTGGTCCAGTAAAGAAGAAAAAGGTGATTAGTGAATTTGGATGAAGATGCCACACATAGTCACATTTGTAGTGAAGATGGACAACTTACGTATCCAGTATTCCTTAGGACAAGAAATTTTTTAACCACTACACATTGACATTTGTGTAAAATTTATGACCTAAATTATTTGTCTTAGTTTTGCATAGAGTGTAATCTTTATTTATCAAAAAAATTATGAGCTAAATCTTATCTATCAGAAAAATTCGTGTGGTATATCTCAGAGTTGGAAACAGGAAAGGTAAGGAAATGCCACATTCTAAGTTTCAGACACATTAGAACAACATACCAATAACAGAACCCTAACAGAAACCTAAATTCCACATGAAAAACTTCAAAATTTTGAAGTAATGGGAAGGGCTTCCAATAGTTGTTGGCTCTCTCAATTTGTTGGGATTTTTTTTCCTTTCTAGTTCTTCACATGCTACTTGAGGTATTTTATATATGTTGTACTTTTTATTCATAGAATTAATGTATCAATTTCTTGAGAGGTTGCACATGGGATTGGTGTATTTTGGTATTTTGTTCATACCATTTGTTGATTCTTTAATTTCTTAACTTATCTTGCACCATGGATGTGCACACAAATATTCGAGGAGAAAAAAAGGAAGAACAGCACATTTCAATAATTCTAAGATGGAAGTTAGAATTTCATAGTAACCATAATTGGCTCTTGTATATTTTTTCTGGCAACTTTCCTGGTTTTCACAGACTTGGTCCAGTAAAGAAGAAAAAGGTGATTAGTGAATTTGGATGAAGATGCCACACACAGTCACATCTGTAGTGAAGATGGACAACTTACGTATCCAGTATTCCTTAGGACAAGAAATTTTTTAACCACTACACATTGACATTTGTGTAAAATTTATGGCCTAAATTATTTGTCTTAGTTTTGAATAGAGTGTAATCTTTATTTATCAAAAAAATTATGAGCTAAATCTTATCTATCAGAAAAATTCGTGTGGTATATCTCAAAGTTGGAAACAGGAAAGGTAAGGAAATGCCACATTCTAAGTTTCAGACACATTAGAACAACATACCAATAACAGAACCCTAACAAAAACCTAAATTCCACATGAAAAACTTCAAAATCAAAAATCCAAGTGCTCTGTAGTCAAAGTCCCTAGTTTATTTCTATTGAATTGGATCGGATAGGATAATCAATAACCAGAATTTTTAAAAAATAAAATAAAATAAAATAGAACTTTCCATCTTCATTGACCCTAAAGTAAAGATATGCCTGTATTGTATAGATAAACATCCAAACATCAATAATTGCAAAGCATCCCTCAAAGTATCAGGAAAACCCCAAGATCCAACAAAGAAAAATCTGAAGTAACCCTAATCAATAATAATAATTCGCAGACAAAGATTTAAGAATTATAATTCGAAAATAAAACCCCAAATCCTGAAGTTACCAAAACCCTAGATCTGTAAATAACCTTTCTCAAATTCAACAAGCAATCAAGGGCCACATTAAAAAATCTAAAACAGCATATATATCCATTACACAAAAACACTAAAAACCCTAAATCAATACACCCAACCCAAGATTTCAAAACCAAGAACGGCCATTAAAATTACAAAAAAAAAAAAAAAATCACAAATCTGTATATACCTGCTTGTACTTCTTTTGCCTCTTCCCATCCGCAGTCTCGATCACAAACTCCGTCGAAAATATATTCGTAATCTTTGCTCTGTACCCGTTCCTCCCACCGGTCGTCTTCTTCGTCAAGTCGTCGTAATTACTACTCGTCAGGAGGTGCCCGAAGATCATCTCGGGCACATAAACCCCTTCCTCCTGATGAATCTCCACTAGAACACCATCCCCATTGTTGTAAACACTAATACAGTTCTGTTCCACATCGATCGTCACCTTGATGGATATAAGTTGAAAAAAAATACCTAGATGAATCAGAAATGGCGAAGACGGACGGCGGCGCAGACGGATGGCAAGGTCGATTGGCGCAACTGAGCTTTGATCGAATTCGACTAAGGTGTGTGAAAGAGGCGCGTATTTAGGATTTATGTGTTTGAATTAGTAAATTATCCCCTACCATTTTTTTTGGTCGGCTGATGTCTGTATGGGAATTTAGATACCAAAACGACGTCGTTTTGGTATCAGCGACCACATTACATTGGTCGCTGAAAGATCATTCAGCTCCCGCCCAGATTTTATTCTCCCGCCCAGATTTTTGGCGACAAAAATTGTAATTTGGTCGCCAAAAATTACTTATTTGCAACAAAAAAAATTTGGTCGGTAATAGAAAAAAATTTTAGCTACGAAATTTAATTTGGTCGGCAAATGACATTTTTCTGCGACCAAAATTTTTTTGGTCGGCAAAAGTGGTCGGCAAATGTGTAAATCCTTGTAGTGATACCATTCCCATTTGGATAGTAAAGTTGCTCACATTGCCTGATTTGGGTTAGTGACCCCAAAACAGTTTGGGCAAGACTTTGTCAATAGTTCATGGATTCAGTGGCCACCAACAAACAAATTCTGTGGACACAATACCTTACTTTCTGGAGAAAGCTAAGAAAAGGCATTAATACTGGTTCCATGCATGAAATCCAATTTCATACCCCCAAATAAGCATACTCAACACAGTCCACGCTACATGGAGTATCGTTGCATTGCTGCGATGAATGATTGGAAGACATTTTAACTGGTACATGTTTGCCACTTTTCAAGTTTGATTTGATTCATTCTTGTCAGTTGCTGATGCCTCTTTGTGAATGAGTAGATAGTAGTTTTGGAACTTTGGGATGGAAACATACAAAAATTGACTTGTTATGGAAGAAAGCAAGGCCAACCCCATTTGTAGCAGTGAACGAAGGTTTGGATGTTACTGAAGGGTTAGGGGACCACAACCACCAGAGAGAGAGAGAGAGTGAGAGAGAGAGAGACACCCAATGCTTTGAAGCTGGTTGGGTTGGGGAGATAGCTACATGGATACATTATTATTCAAAGGGGGAAGTAGAATATTAATTGAAATTGGAAGGACACAGCTCAGCTCTGGACTAGTACATGCAAGCTTGTTCAATTCATTGTCCAGGTTGGTCCCACTTTGGACACACTACTGTTCAGAATTTCAACTTATAGCATGATATATATATATATATATATATATTTCCTTCTTTTCTGGGAATAAGTTTAGAGACAATGATAGATTTAGGGGTGCGAAAGAAGGGACCGCATTCCTAATAATTTGAAATAATTAAAAATTATAAGGATTTGTACTCTAAAATATACATATGTACTTTTATAGTGATAATTTTAAATCCACTCCTATTTCAAGACAAGATTGGAAGTTGTCATCAAATGAGTGTTGCTCAAACATGGACAACGAGTAAGACAGCATCTGAACTTGGATGAATCAGCAAGTTTGGTGCTTGTGGGTTTGGGTTGTGGGCTTGGGCTTGGGCTTTCGCTGAAAATTGTGAATTTTCTTTTTGTAGTATGGGTTTCTCACTTGATATGGTTATGTAGCAAGTTAGCAACTATGAATTGACTACAAGGGCTCATTATATTAGTATAGAACCAACTGATGGAAGGAGATTCCTCCTCCTAGGAAAAAAATAGTAACGGTATCGTACATGGTGTTACCAACCAATAAAAGTTGTAAATGTATTAGGTAGTCAACTCGTGTCTCCCACTAACCCAATAATATTATAATTTCTATCGCAAATCAACAATATTCATTAGATGGTGATATCGTCATGTGATATCACCATTATATTCAATAATTACTCCCTCTCAGGATAACTTTTTTCTTGAGTACATCAAGAAATAATTATTGTATCTACTCTAAGGTGGGTGGAAAAGAGAATTGTATAATCTTTCATCGCACTGAAATTTTATTGTGTATTTTATTTTATTTTATTCTAAACAGAGAAAAATGAATTGCGCCTTCTCTGCACACAAGATGAAGACAATGGTGACTTTTTGACAAATGAGACCTGTGACATTCAAAATATAAAACGTTACCAATACCAA